TGCATATTATGTATGAGGGAGAGCTTGAGTGCATATTATGTATGAGGGAGTGCTTGAGTGCATATTATATATGAAGGAGTTCTTGAGTGCATATTATGTATGAGGGAGTGCTTGAGTGCATATTATGTATGAGGGAGTTCTTGAGTGCATATTATGTATGAGGGAGTGCTTGAGTGCATATTATGTATGAGGGAGTGCTTGAGTGCATATTATGTATGAGGAAGTGCTTGAGTGCATATTATGTATGAGGGAGTGCTTGAGTGCATATTATGTATGAGGGAGTGCTTGAGTGCATACTATGTATGAGGGAGTGCTTGAGTGCATATTATGTATGAGGGAGTGCTTGAGTGCATATTATGTATGAGGAAGTGCTTGAGTGCATATTATGTATGAGGGAGTGCTTGAGTGCATATTATGTATGAGGGAGTCCTTGAGTGCATATTATGTATGAGGGAGTTCTTGAGTGCATATTATGTATGAGGGAGTGCTTGAGTGCATATTATGTATGAGGGAGTGCTTGAGTGCATATTATGTATGAGGAAGTGCTTGAGTGCATATTATGTATGAGGGAGTGCTTGAGTGCATATTATGTATGAGGGAGTGCTTGAGTGCATACTATGTATGAGGGAGTGCTTGAGTGCATATTATGTATGAGGGAGTGCTTGAGTGCATATTATGTATGAAGGAGTGCTTGAGTGCATATTATGTATGAGGGAGTTCTTGAGTGCATATTATGTATGAGGGAGTGTTTGAGTGCATATTATGTATGAGGGAGTGCTTGAGTGCATATTATGTATGAGGAAGTGCTTGAGTGCATATTATGTATGAGGGAGTGTTTGAGTGCATATTATGTATGAGGGAGTGCTTGAGTGCATATTATGTATGAGGGAGTGCTTGAGTGCATATTATGTATGAGGGAGAGCTTGAGTGCATATTATGTATGAGGGAGTGCTTGAGTGCATATTATGTATGAGGGAGTGCTTGAGTGCATATGGCGTGAGTGACGCCATGTAAGGCGAGAAAGTTACGTATTTCTTGTTGAAGATATTTTTTGTATAAGTTAGTTATTCAACCCCAAGTAGTTATAGGACAAGATATTTGGGCGAGAATTGATCAGCAGCCAAGTGCAGTTTATTTGATGAATATATTGGTGTGTTACCGGTGTACTCACTTAGTTGTGCTTGCGGGGGGGTTGAGCTCTGGCTCTTTGGTCCCGCCTCTCAACCGTCGTAGTTGATCCTATGGTGCTGTACAGCAATATTATATATATTCATGCTGTGTATTTTCGTATAATGTCTGTCTGTAGACAACTGATTTTTTGCTCTTGTCCTAGTGAGGATTTCAAGGAAAAGAGAGAGAGACATGCGGCTGCAAATTGGTTGACAGTAACATCATGAACGAGCATTAGATCATGCCAAAAATAGAGTGTGGGGGGGAGTCACGGCGGCTCGAGTGGGTGTGTGTATTCATGACCAGTAGGCTAAATAGGAACCGCTTCCCGAAGTAAAGGTGACGTTGAACCCTTCTTCGTGATACGACGATTTCAGGGCGATCCTTCAATATGCACACCAGTGTCCATTATTGGTTGATTGACAACAGCAGCGGCAGCAGCAGCAGTAAGTAGTAGTTGATGTGGTTAATCTTATATGATCAGGGAAGTGGTAGAGGGTCTTTGTTCGTTAGAAGATAAGTTCAGTTCAGTTATTAAAAAAAAACCTACCACTTATAATGGTTACTATACTTATAAACACCATTATAAGAAAAACAACTTCACAAAAGGTATCTACGTATGTGGATAGTTTCTCTAAATGCATATTATCATCATATTGGTCAACCTTTCTTCAAAATATATATATATATATATATATATATATATATGTATATACATTGCTTGTTCAAGTGATCTGGGAGTATATATATATATATATATATATATATATATATATATATATATATATATATATATATATATATATATATATATATACCCACACCGAAAGAACTTAAATTCAATTCTATTCTTCCGACGATCTCCACATAAACGCAGATTTAAGCGGGTCATACTTATTTCAACATACGTGACCTTCAAGAGGACTTTGCAAACAGGTTGCCAACTTTGCTATGCATGTGAGTACTGCAATTTAGACGAGTAAATATATACATCTGCTGCCAACCGGTGTTCACTTGTCCACACTCCCACGCCACATAATGTTGACCTTCTGAACGCAATGATGTAATATTCTACTGAGAGAGCAAGGAAGAGAATTTAGATCATCTGTTCTTACCTCTTATTCCTTGTCCTCTTTCTTTTCCTGGCTCTTCTGTCCACTGTCTTATATCGCCTTACCTGCCATCCTATTGCCTTTCTTCCTCCGGTTCCCTCCTCTTCCATATCCTCCATTCATTCCACATCTTCCACACCCGCGGTGGAAACTAGGAAAATAAATTTCAGAGTATCAGAACCTAAACTAAATATTAAAATATATATATATTAGTATATTTTGGTAACAGTCTTTCTTGTAAACATATGTTGTTAGGTATGACTGAAAAGGTAAGATAAATAATTCTAACACGAATTCTCTCAATATTTCTTATGTTTCTTTTCAATGTCGATGGTAACTGAAAAATTAATTCCCCAAAATTCATTTTTATTTCTATATTGACGCGACGCCTGAACGCGTTTCGTAATAACTTATTACATTTACAAAGACTTTTGTTTACACACACAACTGTAACCTGTAAACACGCTAATCCGTCATACTTGTACTCGCATTTGGGTGAGGTGATATAGTACAACAGTTTTGGATGAGGTGAACAAACTTGTGACAAACACAAGTCAAAACACGAAACTATGGGTATTAATTGGATATGAGAACATAAGAATGGAAGTAACTGCAGAAGGCCTATTGGCCCATACTTCCTCTTGATGCTTCTATATTGGTTCGGAGTCTTAAAGTGGGTAGAATATAGTTGTGCATTAATTGGCTGTTGATTGCTGGTGTTGACTTTTTGATGTGTAGTGCCTCGCAGATGTCGAGCCTCCTTCTATCGCTGTATCTATCGATGATTTCTGTGTTTGTTAACATATCTCTGGTGATGATCTGGTTGTGAGAGGAGATTATATGTTCCTTTATGGAGCCCTGTTGTTTATGCATTGTTAATCGCCTGGAAAGAGACGTTGTTGTCTTGCCTATATACTGAGTTCTTTGGGGCTTACAGTCCCTAAGTGGGCAATTGAAGGCATAGACGATGTTGGTTTCCGTCAAGGCATTTTGCTTTGTGTCTGGAGAGTTTTTCATGAGTAGATTGGCCGTTTTTTTTTGGTTTTATAGTAAATCGTCAATTGCATTTTCTGATTTTTGTCTGTAGGGATAACGTTCCTATCAACAATATCTTTCAGGACCCTTTCCTCCGTTTTATGAGCTGTCGAAAAGAAATTCCTCTAAAATAGTGTAATAGGGGGAACATGTGTCGTGTTAGTTGACTCTTCAGAGGTTGCATGGTGTTTTACCTTTCTTTTTATGATGTCTTCAACATAACCGTTAGAGAAGCCGTTGTTGACCAGGACCTGCCTTACCCTACAGAGTTCCTCATCGACTTGCTTCCATCCTGAGCTGTGGCTGAGAGCACGGTCCACATAAGCGTTGACAACACTCCTCTTGTACCTGTCTGGGCAGTCACTGTTGGCACTGAGGCACATTCCTATGTGCCTCAATGCCAGTAGTGTCTGGTAGCTGAATGAACAGCACGCGGGACTCGTAATTTTGTGGCCATGGTTCGATTCCCAGACCAGGCAGAAACAAACGGTCAAAGTTTCTTTCACCCTGAATGCTCCCTGTTACCTAGCAGTAAATAGGTACCTGGGAGTTAGACAGATGTTACGGGATGCTTCCTGTACTCACCTATTATACACCTTCCTATTACTCACCTGTGTGTGTGTGTGTGAGTGTGTGTGTATTCACCTAGCTGTGTTTGCGGGGGTTGAGCTTTGCTCTTTCGGCCCGCCTCTCAACTGTCAATCAACTGTTTACTAACTACTTTTTTTTTTTTTTTTTTCCCCGCACCACACACACACACACCCCAGGAAGCAGCCCGTGACAGCTGACTAACTCCCAGGAACCTATTTACTGCTAGGTAACAGGGGCATTCAGGGTGAAAGAAACTTTGCCCATATGTTTCTGCCTCGTGCGGGAATCGAACCCGCGCCACAGAATTACGAATCCTGCGCGCTATCCACCAGGCTACGAGGCCCCTCACGAGGAGGCCCTTACGAGGAGGATGTGTGTGTGTGTGTGTGTGTGTGTTTGTGTGTGTTCGTGTGTGTGTGTGTGTGTGTGAAAAAAAATCGTTAGTAATTAGTAGCAGTTGATTGACTGACAGTTGAGAGGCGGACCGAAAGAGCAGAGCTCAACCCCCGCAAGCACAACTAGGTGAGTACACAGAGTCAGGGGCGAGAAGTGGGACTGGCGAACAGTAACGAGTGGAGTTCCTCAAGGGTCGGTGCTGGGACCAGTTCTATTTCTAACATACATGAACGACATGTCTACAGGAGGTAGGTCCTACATGTCGATGTTTGCAGATGACGCAAAATTAATGAGACGAGATGTGACAGAGGAGGATTTGCAGAATTCTCCATGAGTTCTTGAACAAGTTGCAGAGATGATCGGAGAAATGGCTACTAGAGTTAAACACGAGCAAGTGTAACGTTAAGGAAATGGGACTAGGTGACAGGAGACCAAAGGGACAGTACACAAATAAAAGAAACTACTTACCTAACCTAACCTAACCTAACCTAACCTAACCTAACCTTACCTGTGGCGATTCGAGAAAGAGACCTGGGTGTGGACGTAACACCTAATCTATCTCCTGAGGCACATATAAATAGGATAACAACAGCAGCGTACTCTACACTGGCAAAAGTTAGAACATCATTCAGAGGCCTAAGTGAGGAGGCATTTAGAACACTTTTTACCCTGCCTACGTGAGACCAGTTTCAGAATATGCCTCTCCATCATGAAGAGGAGAAACACATGAAGGAACTGGAAAAGGTTAACAAGTTTGTGACGTGGTTCGTCCCAGAATTACGAGGGATGGGGTATGAAGAGCGACTGAAGGAGCTGAACCTGTCGACGCTAAAATAAAAAAAAAAAAAAAGAGTGAGCGGGAAGATATGATATAGATGTCAAAAATACTTATGAGGATTGACAAAGCGAAAACAGATGAAAAGTTCACACTGAATACCTATAGAACAAGGGGGACATGGGTGGAAGCTGGAAACTCAGATGAGTCACAGAGATGTTAGAAAATTTTCATTTAGCGTGAGAGTAGTGGAGAAATGGAATGAACTAAAGAAGTAGGTTATAGAAGCAAACTCTATTCATAAATTTAAAAGTAGATAAGATAGGGAAATAAGACAGGAATCATTGCTTTAAGCAACCGGAGGCTAGAAAGACGGGATTCAAGAGCCAATGCTCGATCCTGCAGGAACAATTAAGTGAGTGCTCATATCTATCATAAAGTAGATATAATAGAGCCAAATAGGCTCAGGAACCGCTACACTAGATAATTGACGGTTGAAAGGCGGGACCCAAGAGTCGAAACTCATCCCCCGCAAGCACAACAAGGTGAGCTCACTCGTGCACAGATTATCAAGGAAGAGAGGACACAGGACGAGGGGGACACAAATAGATATTGGATAATCGGATTAGCCAGAGAAACATAAGTAGAAATTGGTGTCGCTTTGAGGGTAGTGAGTTCCCCCTCACCACCTTCCCTCTCCCTCACCACCATCCCTCTCCCTCACCACCTTCCCTCTCCCTCTCTACCTTCCCTCTCCCTCACCACCTTCCCTCTCCCTCTCCACCTTCCCTCTCCCTCAGTACCTTCCCTCTCCCTCAGTACCTTCCCTCTCCCTCAGTACCTTCCCTCTCCCTCAGTACCTTCCCTCTCCCTCTCTACCTTCCCTCTCCCTCACCACCATCCCTCTCCCTCACCACCTTCCCTCTCCCTCACCACCTTCCCTCTCCCTCACCACCTTCCCTCTCCCTCACCACCTTCCCTCTCCCTCAGTACCTTCCCTCTCCCTCTCCACCTTCCCTCTCCCTCAGTACCTTCCCTCTCCCTCTCTACCTTCCCTCTCCCTCACCACCTTCCCTCTCCCTCAGTACCTTCCCTCTCCCTCTCCACCTTCCCTCTCCCTCACCACCTTCCCTCTCCCTCACCACCTTCCCTCTCCCTCACCACCTTCCCTCTCCCTCAGTACCTTCCCTCTCCCTCTCCACCTTCCCTTTCCCTCACCACCTTCCCTCTCACTCTCTACCTTCCCTCTCCCTCTAGACCTTCCCTCTCCCTCAGTACCTTCCCTCTCCCTCTCTACCTTCCCTCTCCCTCACCACCTTCCCTCTCCCTCACCACCTTCCCTCTCCCTCACCACCTTCCCTCTCCCTCACCACCTTCCCTCTCCCTCACCACCTTCCCTCTCCCTCTCTACCTTCCCTCTCCCTCACCACCTTCCCTCTCCCTCACCACCTTCCCTCTCCCTCTCCACCTTCCCTCTCCCTCACCACCTTCCCTCTCCCTCACCACCTTCCCTCTCCCTCACCACCTTCCCTCTCCCTCACCACCTTCCCTCTCCCTCACCACCTTCCCTCTCCCTCACCACCTTCCCTCTCCCTCACCACCTTCCCTCTCCCTCTCCACCTTCCCTCTCCCCCTCCACCTTCCCTCTCCCTCACCACCTTCCCTCTCCCTCTCCACCTTCCCTCTCCCTCTCCACCTTCCCTCTCCCTCACCACCTTCCCTCTCCCTCAGTACCTTCCCTCTCCCTCTCCACCATCCCTCCCCGCCAAACACACACCGAAACTATGACGTTGGTACAACGTTCGAACAAGTTTTAACACCTCCTAACCAGTTATAACAACCAATATAGCAAGTTGTAACAACGTTCTAATACGTCATAAACACGTTAAGCCAAGATGTAACAACTTTATTACAAGTTGTAACAAGCGGAAAATAGAGACAGTTTCGGTTTGCGTTTCCAGGGTCTCCCTCTCCACCTTCCCTCTCCCTCTCCACCATCCCTCTCCCTCAGTACCTTCCCTCTCCCTCTCCACCATCCCTCTCCCTCAGTACCTTCCCTCTCCCTCACCACCTTCCCTCTCCCTCTCCACCTTCCCTCTCCCTCAGTACCTTCCCTCTCCTTCACCACCTTCCCTCTCCCTCACCACCTTCCCTCTCCCTCACCACCTTCCCTCTCCCTCACCACCTTCCCTCTCCCTCACCACCTTCCCTCTCCCTCTCTACCTTCCCTCTCCCTCACCACCTTCCCTCTCCCTCACCACCTTCCCTCTCCCTCACCACCTTCCCTCTCCCTCACCACCTTCCCTCTCCCTCACCACCTTCCCTCTCCCTCACCACCTTCCCTCTCCCTCACCACCTTCCCTCTCCCTCACCACCTTCCCTCTCCCTCTCCACCTTCCCTCTCCCTCACCACCTTCCCTCTCCCTCACCACCTTCCCTCTCCCTCACCACCTTCCCTCTCCCTCTCCACCTTCCCTCTCCCTCACCACCTTCCCTCTCCCTCTCCACCTTCCCTCTCCCTCAGTACCTTCCCTCTCCCTCACCACCTTCCCTCTCCCTCACCACCTTCCCTCTCCCTCACCACCTTCCCTCTCCCTCACCACCTTCCCTCTCCCTCACCACCTTCCCTCTCCCTCTCTACCTTCCCTCTCCCTCACCACCTTCCCTCTCCCTCACCACCTTCCCTCTCCCTCAGTACCTTCCCTCTCCCTCTCCACCTTCCCTCTCCCTCACCACCTTCCCTCTCCCTCAGTACCTTCCCTCTCCCTCTCCACCTTCCCTCTCCCTCACCACCTTCCCTCTCCCTCACCACCTTCCCTCTCCCTCACCACCTTCCCTCTCCCTCACCACCTTCCCTCTCCCTCACCACCTTCCCTCTCCCTCACCACCTTCCCTCTCCCTCACCACCTTCCCTCTCCCTCACCACCTTCCCTCTCCCTCACCACCTTCCCTCTCCCTCACCACCTTCCCTCTCCCTCACCACCTTCCCTCTCCCTCACCACCTTCCCTCTCCCTCACCACCTTCCCTCTCCCTCACCACCTTCCCTCTCCCTCTCCACCTTCCCTCTCCCTCAGTACCTTCCCTCTCCCTCACCACCTTCCCTCTCCCTCTCCACCTTCCCTCTCCCTCACCTTCCCACCTTCCCTCTCCCTCACCACCTTCCCTCTCCCTCACCACCTTCCCTCTCCCTCACCACCTTCCCCTCCCTCACCACCTTCCCTCTCACCACCTTCCCTCTCCCTCACCACCTTCCCTCTCCCTCTCCACCTTCCCTCTCCCTCTCCACCTTCCCTCTCCCTCTCCACCTTCCCTCTCCCTCACCACCTTCCCTCTCCCTCACCACCTTCCCTCTCCCTCACCACCTTCCCTCTCCCTCACCACCTTCCCTCTCCCTCCCCACCTTCCCTCTCCCTCTCCACCTTCCCTCTCCCTCACCACCTTCCCTCTCCCTCACAACCTTCCCTCTCCCTCTCCACCTTCCCTCTCCCTCACCACCTTCCCTCTCCCTCACCACCTTCCCTCTCCCTCTCCACCTTCCCTCTCCCTCTCCACCTTCCCTCTCCCTCAGTACCTTCCCTCTCCCTCTCCACCTACCTTCCCTCTCCCTCTCCCTCACACCTTCCCTCTCCCTCACCACCTTCCCTCTCCCTCAGTACCTTCCCTCTCCCTCTCTACCTTCCCTCTCCCTCACCACCTTCCCTCTCCCTCACCACCTTCCCTCTCCCTCACCACCTTCCCTCTCCCTCAGTACCTTCCCTCTCCCTCTCCACCTTCCCTCTCCCTCAGTACCTTCCCTCTCCCTCACCACCTTCCCTCTCCCTCACCACCTTCCCTCTCCCCTCACCTTCCCACCTTCCCTCTCCCTCACCACCTTCCCTCTCCCTCACCACCTTCCCTCTCCCTCTCCACCTTCCCTCTCCCTCTCCACCTTCCCTCTCCCTCAGTACCTTCCCTCTCCCTCAGTACCTTCCCTCTCCCTCACCACCTTCCCTCTCCCTCACCACCTTCCCTCTCCCTCACCACCTTCCCTCTCCCTCACCACCTTCCCTCTCCCTCTCTACCTTCCCTCTCCCTCACCACCTTCCCTCTCCCTCACCACCTTCCCTCTCCCTCACCACCTTCCCTCTCCCTCTCCACCTTCCCTCTCCCTCTCCACCTTCCCTCTCCCTCTCCACCTTCCCTCTCCCTCTCCACCTTCCCTCTCCACCTTCCCTCTCCCTCACCACCTTCCCTCTCCCTCTCTACCTTCCCTCTCCCTCTCCACCTTCCCTCTCCCTCAGCACCTTCCCTCTCCCTCTCCACCTTCCCTCTCCCTCAGTACCTTCCCTCTCCCTCTCTACCTTCCCTCTCCCTCACCACCTTCCCTCTCCCTCTCCACCTTCCCTCTCCCTCACCACCTTCCCTCTCCCTCACCACCTTCCCTCTCCCTCACCACCTTCCCTCTCCCTCTCCACCTTCCCTCTCCCTCAGTACCTTCCCTCTCCCTCACCACCTTCCCTCTCCCTCACCACCTTCCCTCTCCCTCAGTACCTTCCCTCTCCCTCACCACCTTCCCTCTCCCTCACCACCTTCCCTCTCCCTCTCCACCTTCCCTCTCCCTCAGTACCTTCCCTCTCCCTCAGTACCTTCCCTCTCCCTCTCCACCTTCCCTCTCCCTCTCCACCTTCCCTCTCCCTCACCACCTTCCCTCTCCCTCTCCACCTTCCCTCTCCCTCTCCACCTTCCCTCTCCCTCACCACCTTCCCTCTCCCTCTCCACCTTCCCTCTCCCTCAGTACCTTCCCTCTCCCTCTCCACCTTCCCTCTCCCTCACCACCTTCCCTCTCCCTCTCCACCTTCCCTCTCCCTCACCACCTTCCCTCTCCCTCAGTACCTTCCCTCTCCCTCACCACCTTCCCTCTCCCTCTCCACCTTCCCTCTCCCTCAGTACCTTCCCTCTCCCTCACCACCTTCCCTCTCCCTCACCACCATCCCTCTCCCTCAGTACCTTCCCTCTCCCTCACAACCTTCCCTCTC